GAATTCCTGCTTAAAAGTCAAAAATAGCTTCTAAAGAAGTTAATAGGAAGACAATAGCAGATTTTTATTGGATTTTGATTTTTTTATTTCATGCAGCCACCCATTATATTCCCATATGCTAGCAGTTGTGCAACATAAATCAACCTTAATGCTTTAAAATCCTACCCCAAGTCTCCACTCCACTTTTAGGGCAGCAGACATAAGATGGCAGCTGTGGGCAGCAGAATAAATTGGTGTCTCATGTAAGTGTAGTGAAATAACACACAATATAAGGTGAGTGTGTGTGAATGCATAATGTATAAAAGTTAATCAACCTCATATATTTTCTTTTTATAATTAAATGTTTTATTCATTTTCATTTTCAATTTTGTACATTCACTTATATACTGGATATTTGCAATAATAATAATATAATCGTAAGANAATCCCACCAGGCTCAAGGTTGACTCAGCCTTCCATCCTTCCGAGGTGGGTAAAATGAGGACCCAGATTGTTGTTGGGGGCAATATGCTGACTCTCTAAACCGCTTAGAGAGGGCTGAAAGCCCTATGAAGCGGTATATGAGCCTAACTATTGCTAAATATACTCACAATTTTTCATCAAGATAATGTTCCGTTTATTGTACGGTTCATTGCAGTGAATCATAATTTCACAGTGACATCAGAAGTTTTATCCAGAACTATGGATTATTTAAAATCAATTTGTAGTATATGAACAACAAAGAATGCAACTTGTATCAATAGTACAGTACATTTAGAAACCTTAACAATTATATAAATTGGAAATTAAGTGCTCATAGTGATCATGAGTTATTTACTTGTGAAATCTCTTTTTACTTTTATGTTCAATCATATCCAAGTCCCTGAAGTTTTCTTCAGGAAAGCAGGAAATCCTGCTTTCTAGTGAATGTAAATCATGCAGCACAGCTGTTTCCCCCTGAACAGGTAGTAAAAAAATGCTTTAAAAAGTTTTTTAAAAGTTCCGACAATCAGCTGTGCGACTATCAACTGTGCCAGCGATTGTTGGAACTTTTTTAAAATTATTTTTTAGCACTTTTTTATTACTGGCTTGGGCAAACAGGTGTTTTTTTTTACCACCAGTTCGGGCAAACTGGCCCAAACCGATAGCATTTCACCCCTGAAAAAAACCCTATCCAGATGAATGATGCCTTGTCCATACTGCGCTCAGTGTCTATGTGTTAGTTATGGATACTTCTCCATTGGAGGGGATGCATATGAGATGGGCTTACAAGGAAGCTTGACTGAAGTGATTCTAGGTCCCATAACAATCTGCTGTTTTATGTTGAGATGTCTAGACATAACGCATGGGCATCAGAAATGAAAAGTTACATAATATAAGCTATTCAATATAGATGCATGTTTTTTAACCCATCTATTCCTGTTATGTGTCAGATATCAATGAGTTACAGAAACTTCAGGTTACTGAGCTGGTGATATGATAAATAAGCTCAAATTCTTCATATGAACATCTTGTTCTGACCACGCCAATGTATCTAATATATTAAACAACTAAAACCATGTATGTACCATTCACTTTGCCATTTTATTCAGTGACATCTGGATTTCTAGACCCACCAGCTATATCATTTCATTAAATTGGGGGAAGATTGGGGAGAAAATAGATATTGGGCAGAGAAAACTTTGAGAAATAGTAACAAGCAGGTGAAAGTAATAAATCCATTTCTTAATTAAACCAAAGGCCAGCAGAATGAAACTGTTTTTCTACTAATGGTGCAGCCTTATCAGAATCTTCTATTCAAGCCTCCTGTACTACACAGCAGTGGTGGGTTTCAATTTTTTTAGAACCTTTTTTGTAGGTGTGGGCTGCTTTGTGGGAATGGCTTGCCGGCCATGTGACTGGATGAGAGTGGCTTGCCAGCCATGTGACTGGGTGGGCGTGGCCAACTTGTAAAATGTGGTGAAACTCACTTAACAACACTCTTGCTTAGCAACCAAAATCTCTGAGTGTGCAAGTCTTAAAGCTGTCAAGTTACAAGACCCTTGCACCCCTAACCCTTTAGAAAAAAACCCAGGGAT